AATTATAGTTTAAAGGAAAATTTAGAAGAAATTAAAGTTGTTTGGAGGAAGGAGGGTATTTTTGATAATAATATATAATGTAGTCATGATGGGCTGTGGCATCTATACTTAGAGAGTTATAGTTATGTAATTATAACAATAGCAATCTAGTATAAAGGTCACTATAGCAGATTGCACATAGGTATTTATAAGATAACTGGATGAGTTAAAACTTAAAAAATTAGACATTGAAGGGTATATAGCTATTCAATGATGTTTTTCTTATACAAAAACAAATCTAAATAAAGTTTTGGTATGACTGCTGAATTAAAAAAAAATGAAGTATTTGAAAAATATAATATTATATAAATAAATCTTGATAGAATATATAGATATGAAGAATTTGCATATAGAAAGCCTAAGTTAGTAAGTAGTATAGCTTTTAACAGTTATACTAGTTAATATTTAATTTATAAGGAAACTATTACTAAAAAATATAGATTAAATTAGATATAAGTAAATTTATTTTACAGAGAGAATTAGTAATACTAACTTAGCTTAGTAGCTAACTAGATTAAAAAGATCTGTCTCATGAAATATTCTAAAGAATAGAATACACAAAATGAGCTATAGTAGGAACTAAAGTTGTATAAATATCACAAAGTCTAACTCAGATTAATTAGTAAAGTAAACATATAACCACTTTGGTAAAAATTGCTTTTAAAGTTAACTGAAGCTTTATAGCTTACAAAATATAAGACAAACATATTCTGAAAGGACCTAAGTCATATAGTAAATAAATTTACAAACAAGTTAGCTAGCTTAAGCAATTAGATATAGTAGTAATATTAATTTGAAATAAGAAGAAAAATTAATGATCAGAGTGTTTAAATAGATAACTTACAAGCAGGTTGTAAGTATAGCAACATAGTATAGAACCAACATATAGTCAATTGTCTATATGGCGAACTACTTAAATTAGACAATGACTAAAGTTGTATATATAGCTTGTTGTACACTTATTATATAATTATAAAACCTTAGAAGATTACTATTTTAATAACTCTGTAATAACAAATTAATAAAATCTAATTAGTTAAAGAAGCAGCTCTAATAAAAAAAAAAAGAATTATAACTATATAAGTTAATACTATTATTACAAATAATAGCTTTCTTAATATACTCTAAGTAATATAAGATACAGAAGAGGAGCTATTAATAGTATCTAAGTAGAATATTATTTCACTATAGCAGTTCATTAATAAAAATTTATTTTTAAAACCAAAAGTTTATATTTATTAAAGAAATAATAGAGAACTTAAAACTTTATATAGAATTTGACTAAAAATAGATTTAATTTAATTAATTTTAAAATAAAAACAATATAAAACTAATTTGAGAAGTTGTAATAATCTGATTTATAATTTTTGAACTTGTATTTAATTAAAATTAGCTTAATTTGAGTGGCTAATATAGGTCAATACAAGGTTTAATCTTTACAAATTTGGAAATTTGTTAGATTATTAAAATTAAAAATTTTGAAATAAGAAAAGATATTTTTTAAACATTTTTAGAAATTTTTTTTGCTATTTTAAAATTTAAATAGCTCAGTTTTATAACTATTTTATGAAATATAGCTTGATATAACTAGAAGGACCAGGTTAACAACTTTGTTTAAGAGTACAAAAGAGATATAGAAAGCAAAATTTAAGAAAATTTCAAATGTTTAGAGTAGATATTTTATTTTTATTTATAGTAGTAGAGTATTGAATAGGAGGTTTAAAAAAAAACATATATTAATAAAAGGTTATTTAAAAAAATAAAAAAATTTAATGATTCAATAAACTTTTTAAAACAAATACTTAAGAAGTCAATTTCTAATATCTTTTTTATATTTAAAATATTAAAATTTAAAGAATTTTATTAACAAAATTTGAAGACTTTATATATATTTTCTAGGCTATCACTAATTATAATCTAAAAATTCATTTTTATTATTTATGAAACTCATTTTTACTTATTTAATAATAAAACTTTAGTTTTACTATAGTTACTTTATTTTTATCTTATAATGATAAATAAAACTTATGTTTTCAAATTATTCTTCTGGATTACTTTGATTTTCATGTTCATAGCATAACCTTCTGATTATTGATTTATTTTTTTATTTTATTATGTTTATTATATATATATATATTTAGTATTATTATTGTTTTATCTTTTTTCTGTTGTATATAGCCTTTTAAAGATTTACTATCTGTAATTTATTAGAGTAGATCACTATCTAAAAATAACAGAAAACTTGTTAAATTAATGTGATAAATTCAATTTATCAAATTTACAAATTTATCTGATTTATCAAATTTATCAAACTTATTCTATTTATCGAATTTATCCAATTTATCAGAATTATCAAATTTATAACATAAATTTGATAAATTAATTTTCAAATTGTATCTATTAGTGTTGTGAAAAGTATAAAAGCAATACCTTTTACTTCTCAAAAATAACTTTCAGAAATTCAAAATAACAACTTGTAAAGTTAAAATAATAACTCTCAATAAGTTCAGTGACTGATAACCAATACTTCGAAATTCGAGTAGAAATTTGGTATTTGAAGTTCCCTATTGTTAAAATCATTCTTAATAAACTGAAATCCGTATTATTTTACCTCCTCATTGTTAAAACAAATTGCCCATAAATAGTTTTATTGATAAACTCTTCGAATCCTATTGATAATTCGCCAACCAATTAGAAAAAGGACCAAATCACATGCTATGTAATTAGAATTATCCATATAAGAAAAGCATCTCTAATCGAAGATTAGAATCAGAAACAACTAGAATCAAAAGGTCAGAATAACCAAACACTTACCTACAAGAGACCAGGATAACCCAAGAAATCCTCTAACAAATCTAAACCCGGACCAAATCCTCTATGCCCTCTTTTAGCCTACCAACTTAGGGTTGATTATTGGATCATAATATTGTGTTTAGTTATTGTCGCGAATTATAGTGAGATTTGGGGGTCTCCTTTTGAAAACATAAACTCTACTAAAATCTATTTGTACTCTTTTCTAAATAACTCTAACCCTAAACCCTAACCTAACTCTAAAAAAAAAGCTAGAAAATACTCTCTAGAAAATTTTAAATTTCATATTAAAATAGGTCCAAATCTCACCATAATCCACGACAGTTATTAAACCCGAACCCTGGTGTAACCAAACCTCCGGTCGAGTTCTGTACCAGAACTGGTTCATACCTTTTCATCGTACAAAAAAGGTAATGTTTTATAAAAAAAAAAAAATAAATAATTGAAAATAAAAAAAATATTGAAAATAAAAAAAAATATTGAAAATTCGGTTTTTTTCAGCCCCAAACAAGTTTAAACGCAATATCTCCCAGGTTACCACCATAATAGTATGCATCTTGTTTGATTTTTTTTTTATAGTTAGATTAGAATTTAGGGTTAGAGTTTATAATAAAAGAGTATAGCTGGATTTTAGCAAAGTTTATAGTTTTAAATCAAGACCTCCAAGTTCTAGCTTTAGCCGCAACAATAAATTTATAATTAAAGTAATCATCGTTCCTTTATTAATTAATCTTTGATATAAAAGCTAATTTTTATAAACCCATCAAAAGAAAACGCAATATTAAAAAAAGTAGATCATTAAGAGTAAGAATCCTTGATACGCCTATTGAAATTCCTTTTTTCTAAAATTTATTCAGCTTGTAGTAATGTCAAACCTGTGACTTATGAATCGTAATTTCCTAGGTAAGATATAAAGGAAACTGTATGCAAGAGCAAGTTCCTGATTTTTTCTCCCAAGTGTATTTAATAGGTTGAATTGGTATTACTTTATGGTTCAATATAAATAATGTTGGATCTGTATGTTAACTATTTCAATCAGAATTACTATAGGTGGTAAGAGTAAAGTATAGTAATATAAGCTAGCCTCGACCCAACAGCTGGGTTGACAGGTGGGCCGACCCCCAGCTCACACCTTTGTGGATCGACTCAGTTGGAATAATGTAAAAAAATTTTAACCAGTAATATCAATCGATTTTTTATTTAAAAAACTGATAATGATAAACTATAACAATAACAATAACGATAAATACAAAATAGTAAAATAAGTATTTAGTATAACCTATCGACATATTTAATAACGATAACACAAAAAATCATTAATTGGATAATCAAAAAACTTAATTGGATAATCAAAAACTTTAATTACTATGGGTTTCAGTATTTAATAATTTACTTTAGATATTTTCTTGATTTATATCGTATTACTGGTAATTATATTATTAAACAAAAAAAAAGTTATGAATTATTATATATCGATATAGATCAATTCCAAACAAACAAACTGCCAAAAAATTAGTACAAGTCACTCTCGTTATAGTGAAGTGATCTGTTCTATTAATAAATTTTTTTTAAAATTCACTATATCAAGAGATTTATTAGTAAATTTACTATATCGAGATTTTAATTAGTCTTTACTATATTGAGAGTTCATTACAACAAGAGTGACTTGTAGATATAAATCAGCACAACGTACTGTAACTATCGGCACCAACAAACATTTGATACTTAATTCTTCTAATGTTAATATGCCTTATTATAATTACACAAGTATCTGGCTCTCATAAAAAAAAAAAAAGAACTATTATTATACTGGCTTTTATAAAAAAAAATTATACCAGCTCTCAACATCGGCTCTCTTTTTTTTTTTAAAAAAAGGAACTATTATATCGGCTTTCTTTTTTAAAAAAAAAAAACTATCATAATACACAAGTACTCACTATTATAAAAAAAAACTATTACAATAAACAAGTACTCGTTTTTCATAAAAAAAAAAAAAAACTTTTAAATTTCCAAAACAAGAAATTCGATTTTATCAAAATTTACTTTTTCAAAAATTTTTTTTCTTGATACTGTGTAATTTAAAAAGGTATTATAAAAGTGGTAATTCTGAAATTTGATCTCTTTAACTTGTTTCCCCATATCTCTTATTCATGATTATAAAAAAACATTTTACACGTTCTCACAAAAACAATACTACCAGTATTACTTCTAACTCTTTAGAACTATCAAATGAGAGTGACACTGAATTATTTGATACACGTTCTAATAAAATACCAAAAACCAGATGATCTTCTATAACTGATAGTGAAGATAAAATCCCAATAGAATTTACAAGTCAAGTGTCTGATGATAGCACAACTTCATCAAACTATTTTCCACTGTCTGATCCTCAAGAACAATGTAAAAACAATAAATTATATCAAACAAAAAATTTTAAGCAAACTACTTTAGATTATGCTTTACAAGTTCCCGATATTGAAGTATTATTAACCAATGTAGCTAAGTCTAATAATAAATGATCAACAAAAGATAGTTGGGTTTAGAGTTATATGTGAAAGGACATATTAAATAAGCAAGTCCTATGTGAAATAATTATGATTAATTTAGATAGGCACGAAGAAAACTGTAATAAAATTTATAGCATTTCAACATCAACTACACATCTTGGCGAATATTTAAATACAGTGTATCGGATTTTTTCTTCACAACAATATAAAAAAAACCCCAAAGGGCAAACAGTAGTTGAGTCAGATAGTTCTGTTCAAACTATACCTTCAATACTATCAAAAATAAATTCTCATAAACCAGAGAAATAAGGACGATTACTATTTTGTTTAATAGCATGGATAGTTGAGGATTGCCAAGCTTTAACAGTCGTGAAGGAACAAAAATTTCAGCAATTTTGTCATGAAATGGATCCTTGGTTTAAAATTCCTGGACTAGCATTAATTAAAAAAAAAATTCAAGAATCTGTTCTTTTTGCTGAAAGTCAGCTACGTGATTTTATAAAAAATACAATGGAAACGTTTTCATTTACAACAGATATGTGGACTAGCATGTATTGTCCTTATGTTGGTGTAACTATTTATTGGCTTTCAAAAAATTTCAATTTGTATCAAGCAATTTTAACAATTGAAAATTTTCCCTACTCACACTCAGGAAACGCCAAGAACGTTTTTTGTCAAAATTATTTGATTATTAGAACATACGTGACAAATTAATTGGAGAAACAACTGATAATGACAAATTAATTGTCAAAGAAATAAGACTTCTTGGAGTTCCCCATATTCGCTATACTGCACATACCATTCAGCTAGCTATTAAAAATGGGCTTAATACTTGTGATGATCTTTTATCTAAAGTTATGAAATTAAATAATTGGTTAGTAAAGAGGGATAGGTATTGACAAAACCTTCGTAATATTCAA